AATCTATGGAGGTGTAGACATCGAAGTTTGCTAAGGTGAATGGTGCAGAGACGTACATTAGCTAAGAATGTAAGATCGTGATGCAGGATTAAGGAGGTAGGGAAAGTAAAAATAGAAGAGAATCACCTAGTATTTGACAGCGTTTTTCCCATTTTATGTCAGTTCTAAATAAAAAATAAGATTCTAGGAATGCACTTGTCTTGCTGAAAAGGCATATCGATAGAACTACAGAGTTGCTACGGCCTAAATTCTTCTTTAATAAATTGTAGCAAGTTGCTAAAAAAAATTCAAAAATAATTATTTAAAGCAACAGGGGAACAAGACCAATAAAAAGTCCGAAGAATATAAGTCTCCATACCGATTATTTAAGTTTCCACAATAAATATTGTACACAAGATGAAGTATACAGGAACATATATATACATAGTATATATAATAGAAAACATTTTATACTAAAAAGCTGATAACCGGAGAACATTATTTGAAAGAAAATAACAATGCATAATTGAAGAGATGATATGGAAGTTATAAGTTCATGCTGTCGACACGCCTGTCAGTTCGTCAGAGTATAAACAGTAGGGCCGGTCGGAAACAAATGGACTCAATCGGTAGTTTAGAATGATGTTTGCATTCAATATCGAGGTTACAAGACGAGATACAAAACTTTGGCAGGAATAGTGGGCCACATTTACGAATTCTAAAATCCGAACTAGACTGGGAAATATATGTATATGAGATTGAGAGGTTGTTGCATAGATATATGGGTGTGTGGAAAGCTAATAAGAATATTATGAAGGCATTGAATCCCTGTAAAATGGTCTAATGGAACGTTCTTCACACGTAGTGAGCAGCGAAGTCTAAGCAAAGGTGGTTACAATAGGATTTGAAGCCACCGCAGCAGCTGCGGCCGCTTGCTTAACACGAAGTACGACCGGGACTGAGGTGGTGGGCAAAGTGCCCAGCTCAGTGACGACGGCAGTGACTAAGCCAGGTGGGAGAACATCATATGTAAGGTGAAGGAGGCGAAGGTTAGGATTTTCTCGCCAGTTAGCCAAATTGTGTTGCCTGCACATGGAATGAATAAAAAATTATATAAACATATTTAAGCTTAGCATCAAAGATTTTACAAAGTTCAATATACAAACTGAAAAATGCAATAATTTGAAGATCAGAGATAATGCAATTATCATCATTTAAAATCAATGGTGACAATGCATTTGCAACTTAAATGTGCCCTTTAAAAAGAGTAAATTAACTCCAAATTTAAATTGTTATTTGAGACAAGGCAAAAATTGACAAAATATATAAATTTAGTTATGTGATTTTCTAATTAAATAGCTGCAAGTGTTAGTATTTCCTGATACTAATTCCGCCTAATTGCTTTTATAGGCTCTACACTGGGTCATCAGGACATTTGATGCAATAGTGAAGGCAGCTAGTAGCATTTTTTAATTAGGCATTTTTCTAATAAATCATTGACTTAGTATGTTTCCCAAGAAAACGGGCCCAAATATTCGGTTGGATGCAGAAGAGAAAGTCCAGACATCTCTGTGATGAAATCCTGCAAAACAACTCTCAAACTCAACAGAAAAAAACAATATCGGAAGATAGTGATGGTCAGACTTCGTTTTCGCAACTTGAAGGGGCATGGAGAACATGTGAAACATACCTAGTCCAGCACGTTATGCTATATTAGTAAGGATACTTTCGATCATTCAAGCGTAAGCTTGGTACATTCCCAGACATCTCATCGGACTTGCCAGCATTATCACAAATTTACAAATGGCCCTTTATCTGTTTACCCATTATGACATCCCTCCTCACTCTGTCCTGGATGGTATCATTGTATCACCATCCCTCAGCCCCTCTTCATATGACATCAGGACTCAGATGTCATTCAGAAAACTTCTGATAGCCAATCAGCACTTCCATTTAACCGCCCCTTCCATTCAACTTATCAGGATACCCCTGTTACACGTAAAAGTCCCCAAGTAGCTATTTATAAGTCCTCAATTCCGGTATCCATTTAATGGATTTTAAAAATGGTGATAAACCCCATTTACCAGTTGTCCTCTCTACAGCCTCTCTCATTTTCTAGAGGCCTCTATCCAGTTTCATTTGGAATCACTTGCTTTGAGATAATTTGATCATATAAATACTCCACTTCTGGATCAGTTGCAGAATATTTCTCTTGTTTTTTATGTCAGCAGTGCCACCTAATCTTAAGGTTCTACTCATTTCTCTGTGTTTATATTCGATAATAACTACTCATTTCAGGCACGAGCCACTTGTCGCCACACATTCCCAAATAAATACACACTTCACTCAGATACGGGGTACCAACTAATAATGTGGCACCAAATAGATTTCTACACTCAAGTAGATTTGAAAGAGATCTAGGTCCTAAACTTAGCGCCACTGATAGTGTGACATTCGGATGTTTATAATACTTCATTTCTATATCTCCTGATTTTGAAGCCGATTCTAGTTTTTAATTTTTCCATTGAAACCGCCTTCTCTTGATTTTTAACTCTCTCTCTCTTTCTCAAGATTCTCTTCATGTCAATGTTTTCCTTCCCGTTGTTAAATAAATATGTCTAATTTATGTCCTCTTAACTGCTTTCGCTAAATCCCGAATTTCTCAGCGAGCCCAAATAACAAGTGATAATCTCGCCGACTGTTCCCTCTTCCAATCTCCGGTTCACTAGGTTTTACTGAAGGATGAGATCCAAGGATATGCTTTCTTGTTTTTTTTACATGAGGTCAGTCTTTACATTGCATTCAAGTAATCGTGTGGCCGATCAAAGAAAGGTGTTCAATTATCTCCAATCGTTTTGTGTCTGTGCTGATTGTCCCCTACGCCTCTACAATGAACCTTATGCAGTAAATTCTAGAGTACTCCATTTTGTTGAACTTCTCATGTCTACACTAGTTTGTAAATAGAGTTGTCCTTTTTTTCATAATCGTACCAATATTCCCATTTTATTAGCAATGGTCTTAGCTTCCAGGCTAGTTAAATAAATCGTTTCCTTCCTGTCTCCCGAGTTTTCCTTTCATGATCCCTATCCGTTACGTACGACACGTAAGTTCCGATGATTATTTCCTAAGAATAACCGTATTCAAGAGATATCCGGCTCTGCTTGCCCAATTCATCATCCAAAGAATCCATATATGTGAGTCCGAGACTTCTTATAATCATACAACTGAGTGTCCCGACCTTCAATCTGTAGTTATGATAGAACTGCAAATCTAGGGTTATTCCTGAATGATATCCCTTTCTGAACAACTTTTTTTAGGAATCTCCTATGAGCGAATGGCTTCTACATTCAAGAATAGTAAATATCCGTCATACTCCACCTCCATTTAAAATCTGACTTTTCTCATAGTTTCATTTCGTCTAGTCTTACTTGTTCAAGCAACCAGTGCGAAGTAGTTATCCAAGTGTTGCGCAGTTAATGCTGACTGTTGAAGTGACATTTTGATATCCTCCTATGACTTCTTCATCATCAGCCAAAAGAGGTGAGTGGTGAGCCCATAGGCAAAACTATGGGCTGTAATATCATGTTATACTTAAATATTTAAAAAATGGGTTTCGAATAATCATATGTTAAATTCATACTGCTGTACCTAAGGGATTGCTTCGAAGTGACGATGTTTGTCATATGGCAAACGTAAGCTCAGCCCGGATTTCGCGATGTCACAGGCAAATGCAAAGTAAGCCTCCTTTAGTTTTAAGGTGATGCCAATTTACGAGTTCCATCAACCCTTTTTTAAAATAAATACCAAACTTGATAGTATGTTTAGAGATTGATGAAAAATGATAGAGCATCACTTTTAACCCAAAAGAGAGATATTTATGAAAGGTTTATGACACCTTTTCTCCATCAGATGAAAATAGGCTAAATCTGGGAATTGTGTTTTCTTCCGGTAGTCATTTTAATATGAAAATGACAAGAGTTTACAGCTTTCATTCGGAAGATAGAGCTAGGTGAGTTAGAAATGAAGGATAGACAACGAGCCAATTCAGCCTCACACTTGTCATCTGATATTAACATGAGGAAAAGCAATTTGTATCGACGAAGATGAGAATCCTAATTTAGCCACACCGGAAATAAGAGTTTCTACTTTATTTCAGCGTAAAAATCTACAGTTGAAAGAGCTGCAACCTCAAATAATCCCTACTGAGTTAACGTTAGTCATGTTAAAAATAGCCTTAATATAAAAAAT